AAAATATTGTAATTCATATTCATATGATATTTTTTTTAGGACGTGATGTGACAAAATAATACTGAATTTTCATTTCTAAGATTTTATTACTTTACACTATGGTAGAGAAATTGAATTGTATTTTTTATTTTTAGATTTTCTTAATCAAATGGATTTATTGAATATTTCGTTTAACAATATATATGTGATCTAGATAGTAGAAATTTTGAAGACAATAACATTATGTTTTTTGTATTTTGTATTCTAAATTTGAACTTTTAAAGTGTGAAATTACATTAAAACAAGATAGAATTTTTGACAAAGATAAATTAATTTCAGTTTTGTTAAAATTAAAATATGAATTATATAATATTATAAAATAATAATTAGACAAAATTTATAACATATAGGTTAATAAATTAATTAATGTTATTTTAAATTAAACTAAACTAAATAGTTGTAACTACCAGTAATTTACAATTACAAAACATACCTTGGACAATTTTTAATTTTTAATTCAATTTTCAAATATGCTACTAAACATATTATTCGAAAACATAAAATAAAACCAAATTTCATTGAATAACTTATTTTTGTTTTCAAGTCACCAATTAAATCACCCTAACCTTTTTTTTTTTAAATATTGTATATATATATAATATATATATATAAATAAATAAAAAGGGTAAAAGAGAAGGAAAAACAAAGAAATGACCCTGATTTGACAGCACTCTGGATCGGGTTACAATTGGGCCCGGGTTTACCCGCCTGCTGTTTACATTTATTTTATTTTTTAAATTATACGTGTGTAATATAATTTCTTTTGAAAAAAAAATTATTTTCCAAAATATCTATTTTATCTAACTAAAAAGATTCTAATTCATACAAGATTTAAATTTCACTTTGAATTTTTATGTTTATGTTTATTTTATCATGATCTCTAAATTTTAAGTGTCCATACGTTTTTAGTACTAAGATATCTATTTTAGTTTCTGAATTCTTTAAACCATAAATATTTTGGCCCTTGTAATGTTTTATCAGCCACATCATCGGGTTCAAAGTTCAAAGGCCGGTCCAAGTCCAGTCTAATCTCAATCCAAGTCCGGTCCAAGGTCAACGTTTGATCGGTCCGACTCAGTCCAACCCAGTCCATCCATAAATTAGATTGGATATAGATCTTTGATTTTCAAATTGAGGCCAACCCGTTTGGACCATATTTGGATCGGCTCATTGAACCGGCCCAAAGATCCGATCCAATATTTATTAATATTTATATTATATAATATTAATGTATTATTTATTATAAAAAATAAATAACACATATGATAGGATGACATGCAACAACTTGGTTACCACCCTATTAAATAGAATCATGTTACCAACAAACTTTCCAGCTTCGCAATATCTAATTTAAACGAACAAACTCTCCAATATCTAATTTAAATTGTTTTGAAACATCTTATGAATAAACTCTCCAGCTTCCCTATATCTTATTTAAATCTTATGTTTTTGAGAATTACAAAAGATTTGAAAGGTTACAATATTTTAAAATTCAAAATTTAAAATTATTTTAAACATATCTAATATTTAGGTTGTAATTTTTAAAATTTTTAATATAAAATTTTGTTATAAATATCAACCTCCTCTCCTTTTTTTTTCACTCAAATTCTAATTCTCAATCTCAATTTCTTTCTAATTCTCAATCTCAAATTCTCTCAAGTTTCAATTCAAAGCGTTTAAGTTTTCAATTTTTCTTGTAGTTAACCTCTGTTAATCTCAAATTATTTCTGTTTCAATTTAAAAAAAATAACAAAAAAATATATCAAAAATTATATAAAAATACATATTCTAGAATTATAAAAAAAAACTCAGTTTGGAAATTATTTAAAATTTAAAATTTAAATCTTGTTTGAGCCGGGCTTGGACCCGTCCAACCACTCAAACCTAGGCTCATAGCCCAATCCATGGGCCTAAGTTGAGGCCCGTAGGACTTGGGCCTAAGCCAAACTTGGACCATTACTTCTTTAGACTGGGTCGACCCGGCCCGACCCAATGATGAGGCTGAACGTCTTGTCACTTAATATTTATCTACTTACTACTTATCTCAGGTAATTTATGTTGCTCGAATACAGACTCAAAATTAGTACAGTACTAAACATATTGGAAGTCTATGTATTCACGTGTTAAATAATCAATAATGTAAACTAAAATAGATATATTGAAAGTTTAGAAATGTAACCAAAGTTTTAAACCTTAACTTAATGATTTTGTAAGTTAAACTTAGATAATTTGGTTTAGAAATAAATTTTAGCACACAATTTTTAACTTAACAAAATGATTTGTTAATTTTAGGATACATTTTTCTAGTTGCAACATTAATAGTTATTCAATAATAAGCAAAAATGAATTAACTACTATGGATTCATTTTTTTTTCCTTTTCTTGAGTAATTACTATGCCTTCACTTATGGGTTTTTAGGACAAGTGAATTAATTAAAGTAATTTGGAAGAATATGGAAGGAACGCGAAATATTAAAATTTAAAGAATTATAAAGAGATTATTTGAATTTGAGAGTCAAGTTTATTAATTAATTAAAAAAAATTAAAATGGGTGAAAACGATATGTGATGGGAAGATGATATGTAACTTTCAGAGAAACATGGTAGACCAAACAATTGACCATCAAAAACCATATGATAAAAAAATAAAACATGTTTATATTTTGTGGTCAAAGTAAAGGTTGATGTGGCCAAATCCATTATCTCTATCTTAGATTTGACAAAAAATTCATAGGGAATTAAAAAAGTTAAACTCACATGTGTAATTTCCTTATTAAATTAATTTATGTTAAACAAATTTTTTTTTACTTTTTTTTAGTAAAATAGTAGATACAAGTGAAAATTGTACCAACAACTTTTTATTCGAAAATATATACTTTAATAAAAAATATCTCTTATTTACATCTAAATTAACCAATAATATTATTGGTCAATATTCTGGCCCATAAACTTAATAATTTAAATTAAAGTCAACTCATTTTTAATATGTTTTGTAGTTTCAAAATTGAAATATGATTTCAACTGGGTTCAAAATTTAAATATTTGAAGTTTGAAAAAAAAAAAAAAGATAAATATAGAAGTTGAACGACACAAACTTTTTTCGTTAGGATTAGGATTTAAACATAGAATTTTTAAGGGATGTTATCGACGATTTAAATATTTAAAGTTGAAAAAAAAATATTTTGTACCTAATTAAAATGTACAATTTACCAAGTGAAAAGTGAAGATTTTTCATCAACATCGAGAGGTGAAGGTTAAAGCCTACAATTTTTTAGTCAATAATATATGTCTTTAACTAGTTGAGTTATATTGATATTAATAAATAAAAAAATATATGGTGAAAAATGAAGATTTTTTTTTAACAATATGAAAGGTGAGGGTTAAACCTCCGATCTTTTAGTCAATAATATATGTCTATGTCTTGACTAGTTGAGATATATTGATATTGGTAGATGAAAAATTAATATAGGTTAGATAAGAATCATGGTTATTAACTCTTCATAATCACGTTGCATTAAAATTTAATCTAAATTAGGTAAGGATCATGGTTATTAACTCTTCGTAATCACGTTGAATTAAAATTTAATCTTGTTGTCAACATGAACATAGTTAAGGTACCTTAATCCTTCACTTGAGGTCAGAAGTTCGATCTTCTATACCTATATTTGTTGTATTTAAAAAAATTAATTTGGTTAATGTTTACCATTTTAATAAATTTACAATTGGATTTCAAAATAGACGGCTTTTCTCTGCAATCCCACGCGTTTTCTTACTTTCCCCTCTATATCCCTTGTATTTAATTATAACTTTTAAGATTACGTTTTTTTTCTCACTTTTTTTTTTATATTGAAAAATCATCAAAACTGAAAAGAATAGCTTTGAATAAATCTTTTAAGAACTAACATTTTGACCAAAATTAAACTATAATGTCTTATTGCTCTAAAATATCACCTATTTTCATAGCAGACATTCAATGGACATGAGAATAAATTTTTATATGTAAAAATTGAACCCATAAAAATTACAATATTATCTTTAGTAGCAGGTACCTAGCCATAATAAGAACTCAATCTTCAGTTCGAATCCCTACACTATTAATCGTAAAATAAAAAAAAATAAAAAATCCCAAGTCCAATTTAATTTGGCCAAAATTGAGGTCAAAAAATTGATTTAAAAAATAACATTAGGTTATAAAATAAGAAAAGAAATTTACACAAATATTTCCCTTTAGGATATTACATTTACAAAGGTTGGTAGGAAAAGAGGATTCGAACTTGTCATCTATGTTCAGACTGGCATTATATAATTCATCAATCTAACTTTATTTATTAGTATCCATATTAATTCATCAGAAATTTAATTGATTTAAAGAATTATCCTACTATAACATTTCTAGTTTATCAAACCAAAAATGGGGAAAAAAAAGAGACCCTTCTAGTTGCATTAATAATTTCATTTTTGAATATAAACAAAATTTTTCTTGCGGGTTTGATGATATTCAGCATATTGTTCTAGAATCTAGAATATTCCAGCACCCAAATCAAACACATAAATGAAATCAATCACTAAAAAGGCATGCAAATTAACATACAAACAAACGCAGAAGAAGAAGAAGAAGAAGAAGAAGAAGAAGTAGCTAGAAGAGATGCAGAAAATTTCAATCAAGGAAAAAAAAACCTCTATCTACAGTTTATGGATACTGTACAAAAGCAAAACGCGATTAGATTAAATGCATCTAATTCGAGTCAGATCCAAATTAGGATCCTGATCCGAATCACCAAAACTCAATTAAACTTCACGGAATAAACAAGAACACGAACAAGAACAAGAGAAGCGGTTCAATTAGACGACGAATCGCGCGATCGGTCCGAACCGAGACCTAATTTTTACAGATTGTACTACCAGTGGCACAATTCGAGGCGGCGAGAGCAGAGAGTACAGAGATACTTCCTCTTGATCTTGAGGCAGAGCGGGAGGAAACAGAGCTTCCATCGCCTCTCCACATCAATGGCGTACACTTTGCCTTGACAGAAAGGGCAAGTTCCCGGAGCCTGTTGCCTCCCGAGCTCTTTCTCTTTCTCCTCCCACACGCATGCCAGCCACATTATTCTTCGATTATCTCTCTGTCTTCCTTTTTCTTCGGCGTCGAGAGGAGGTTCGCGGCGGAGATTCCTGAGACCGGCGGACCGATTTCGGCCGGAAAGCGAGATGAGGGGGAAAATAGGGATTGCGGAAAGTGAAGGGGAGAGAGAAAAGGGGGAAAATAGTGTGACCCGAAGCGAGGGCCACTTTTTTAATAATATGGAAAAGAAAGTGGGAGCCGCTATTTATAGACGGGGAAGTTGGCTTCTTGAGTGAAAAATTGGCTTTTGGATGATTTTATTTGTTTTATTTGGGGGGTATTTTTTTTCTGAAAAATATTTTCAGTGAGTCGTCCCTTCTGTTGTTGTTGTTGTTTTGTTTTTATATTTCATTTTGATCTCGCAATTCTGAAATTAAAAAAAAATTGTTTTTGTCCCCTAAAAACTTCTTTCAGACTACTCCTGGTTTCATTTTTAATTTTTTAAAATATTTATTTTAATCCTTAAAACTTTTTAAAAGAATCTTTGGATCTTTATTTTATTTGGTTTTTAATAAATAGATAATTCAATTTCGACGATGTATTAACATATTGACGTTGACAAAGACGGAGCGAAGGAAATGAGACTCTTTGCATTGTCGCAATTCCAAATATATATATATAACGTTAAAGATTTTGCAATTTTTCTCAATTGCCTCGCTAGAATTTTTACAAATAAAATTTATAGCTATAGTGCAAAATTTTGCACCTCCTTTGAAGAATTATTTGCTCCATCGAAATCGGTAAATGTTGACATATATCAAAGTCACATTGAAATCAAAACGACTCTGTTTCTTAAAGTTCACAATCTAGAATAAATACTTTACCAATTTAAGATAGACGGGTTATGATCTATCAAAAAGTGAATAATATATCTTTCAATACATTTAAATATTTTATTTTTCATAAATTTTCTACCTACAAAATGATTCTAGTTCATACCGCTAATCTTTTATGTTGAATGATAGGTGGATACCTCCTAAATTAATATTCTAAGTTACAAATTGGTATTGAATTCAAAAGTAGACGGTTCAAATTTTATACCAAAACTTTATTAAATTTTACTCCCGAAAGCATAGCTCAATAAATAATTCAATCCTAAACCCATAATCGTGAAACTAAAAAATTTGAAAAAGAAAAACATATTCGTTCCTCCTCGTAAATTTCTAACATCATCTATGTTAATATAATATCATGTTCTAGAAAGTTACAATTTTTTTTTGTTGGAAAGAATTTAGAAAGTTACATGATTAGCTTTTAATTGTACAAAATTCGCAATTAATTCTACATAATAGTCTTCTTAATGGTCCATTGAACTCTACATCAAACTTTAAAACAATCAATTTAATTAGTTGAGTTGTCATTAGAAGATTGAAACTAACTTTTCCCCTACTAAATCTAAATTTTATATTAATTGAACTTTATACCAAGAAAAAAAATATTTGCATGTTATAATAACTTTTAATTTATTTAAAAGATATAATTATTTTAATAACAATCATATTTCTTTTCTGAAAAAAATATATAAAATAAATATCACAAAACTTTTTAGAGCAAAATAGAGCTATTGTCAAAAAGTTTATGGCTTTTTTCTAAGAGAGGTAATTTTTTTTTTAAAGAAATATGGATTTGTTTTTCTTTTAAACAAGAAATGAGATCCAAATCTTACTTCAAGCCATGTCAGCAAAAAACCTACTTTCTCTAACAAATTAAAAAAATAATCAACATTATTAAACAAAATATTGGTAAATATAATATTAATAAAAAAATCAAATTATCTCTTATATGCTTTTAGTAATTTTAATTTTGTCCGTACACTTTAATTAGGGCAACTATCATTGTTAATTTGGCAAAAAGTTTTGTTGGACATATTGGCTTTGCATCGTCAATCTATTTTAATATTATGTCAGTGCTTTTTCAATTTATTAAAATATATTTAATGTTTTTTTAAGAGAAACACGTAATATAGTCAAGACATGAGAAAAAAAATTAACAATTTCAACTTTTTTTTCTAATTACAAAAAAGTGTATATTGATTAATAATTATTGGAATACTAGGTATTGTGTATTCAGTCATTATTTAATGAGATCCAATAAATACTTAATCACTTACCTGTCATTTTATTGGTTTACAATGTATTAATTTTTTAAGAATATAATATTATACTGGTAGAGTGTGACATTTGAAATTTCAATATATAAATATCTTAATCAATTAGATCTAAGTTTGATATGACTTTTTATTTTAATTTTTTAGTGGACTATTTTTTTTTTCTATACATAAGTTTAGAAGACATTATATTTGTGCAAATTTTTGGTCAATGTCAGGACATGTCAAGAAAAGATGATTGAAAACGAGCTTTTGTGTCACATGATAAGAAAAGATCTGTACAAAAGAAACAAACACTCTGACGTTCAAGTCAATATTTATTTAACCTTGATATTAAGACTGAGATAGAATGTGATACATGATATTGGAGTGAAGCGTTGTATTTATAGGTGATGCATCCAACAAGCTACTCAACCAACGGTTTCTTCTGTCGGATAATTTCATTGTCGAAAGTCGACCTATCTAGTGTGTAAATTCGAAGATGAGTACAACCTTCAGCCAAATAGAAGTTTTTCGGTGTGGTTTTATGGCTAAGTGTGAAGTTCGACCATCCTTTTGTTTGTCTTTAGAGGAGATCTAATCTTTTCGACCTTCATCTATTCTCCACGTGGCAATGCTATTTTTGTAATTAAGTATTTCACTTAAAATTATATATTACAATTTTCTAAAATTATTTTGATTATGATTGATTTATTGAAAATATTGTGTACTAATTCTAAGGTCACGTGTCAAACCGATCATAATGATCTTTCTGAAACCCAATCCCAAATTTGAAAATAAAGGTTAAACAATGAAACAAAATTTTCATTACCAAAATTGGGATTCAATAAATTGAAATTAGAATACCAAAATAAAAGTAACTATAAAAACAATAAAACAAAAAATAATGAAGAAAAAGAAGGAAAATATGGAAAATATTCGTTACGTGGCGTCGCTGTCAGACGGGAATTTCCACGTAGGTGTGAAGAAATCCTCGTCACGCGTTGCCATAAAAACAAGAGGCGTAACCTTCTAGGATTTTGTAGCACTCGCCGCTCTACACCTACTCGGCGATCTATTGGAAAATGACTTTTTTTTTTTGTTGCTTTTTTCTTATTTTATTTAATGAAAATAAAACTATTTATTATTATTCAGTTTCCCCAAAAGCCATTTGTGAGCTGGAATCAGAGCGTTCGCCAGGTCACTTGCCGTATACAAAAAAGCGAAAATTTTATTATTACTATTATTGGTGGGTATTATTAATCCTTTGGACAGGGGTTTTCTTTTAATAATAATAATAATAATAATATATTATTATTATTATCCTTTTAAATTTAAATAATAATAATAATTATTGTTTTTTGAAAAAAAATATAAATTAACTAATTACAAGTTTAGTTCCTAAAATTTTAAGTCTATACCTAACAAATTCATAAATTTTAAGTGTCAAAGATGTCTATAAATGTTCAATTTATTTGTCTAATAGATTCATGAATTTTAAAAAATGTCTTATAGATCATTAAAATTTTAAATTTGTGTCTAATAATCTTTGACTTATTTGACTTCTTTTTTTTTTTTTGAAATCACAAACTTGTTAGATACCGATCATTTTTATCATACACAACATTCAAGTTTAAGTTTAATTGATCTATTAATTTAAAAAAAAGTGTCAAATAAACCAGTGACATATTAAGACATAAAATAATGAATTTGGAGAGCTACTCAACAGTTTTTTAAAGTTCAATGATTTATTAAATCAGACATTTGAAAGCTTGAGAATTTATTAGACACGATTAAGTAAATTTTAATTTTATATCGAAGAAGTTCTTAAATTATAAAATGTGTTTAGTGAATTTCTAGATAAAAAAAAATCTAATAAATTAGGAATTTACTCAAGTGAAAAGTTTATTAGACACAAGATTCATGTCAATATTATACTCTTTAAACAATCTTACCCTTTAACCCAAGAGAAAGATGTAAATCGGAGACGTTGTTGGGATAAATATGTCATTTTACATCTTCACGTTTAATTGTTAGGCTTGGATCTCACGATAAAAAATAATTTTATTAATTGATTTAATAAAAAGTACTACTTTTGAAGGTGGTGAATATTAGACTTGTTCCACCATCTTTATTCTTTATCCAACTCCACCTTTGTCCTTTTTCCCCAAAAAAGATTATATTTTTATTATTATTTTAGTCCACATCCAAATTCATTTACAAAAACTAAATTATTTTCATTTCTATAAATCATATCATATAACATCATACATTTAACTTATTTAACTTTCAAACTCTAATGGAGATGTATTATCATCTTTAGAATAATTTTATAAATGTGACCCCACTCTAGTCCATTCTTAATTCAGGCATCCATCTTTTAAAATACTTAAATCTACTTTTAGTTGATTGAAAACTTTTTATTAGGTCTTCCAATAGAAAAAATTTATGGACATAAATTTGTCGATAAAAATTGATGTATTATTAAATTATTGTTTTATTTTATATTTAGACATGCGAACGTATCTATCCAATAATGTTGTTTGACACACGAATCTCAACTCGTCAATTAACAAAATCTATTTTTCTAAGTGGCATGTCCACGTATCTAAATATGTTAATAAAACAATGATTTAAGGTGCATTTCGTTAATAATATGAAAACAAAGGATTTAATGAAGAACGGAGTTCTATTCTATGTTTCAAGTGTTTTCGAATATACGTTTGGTAGGAGATTTTGAAATTTAATAGCAATTTAAATTTAAGATGTATTACCAACTAACTATTTAGTTCGATTGAAAATATTATTATTAATCTATTAACATATATGTTATAAATTCTATATAATTATTCTTTTTACAATATTATATAATTTATAATATGTTGTGTCTTACGTGTTTTAACTCTAAAAAAATGAAATGAGTTTATAACATGAAATAATATATTTACTAAACTCTTTATTTTTTTAATGTAATTCTACATTGAATTTAAAATCTGAAAACATTGAATACATAAAAAAATGTTGTTATGTTTTCAAAATTTCTACGGTTTGAATCATACCATCCAAAAATAATTGCCAAAAACAAATTTGCCAAAGAGATATCTATTCAATCTAAAAACAACAAACAGAATTCGGGTTTCATACCAAACACGCCTTTGACGACACAATAGCTTCATGTCTACAAGACCCCATTGGAATTTTTGAGAATTTAAAAGAAAAAGAACCAAATTTAGAAAGAAAAAAAAACCAAAAAAGTAAGAGCAATTTGGTATGTTTAGTATCTTAAAATTTATGGGTTGTATTATTATTTATTATTAAGAAACATATATATTATAATAATTATTAAAATGTTACAAAATTCATTTTTTCATAAATAATGATGATAGACCCGCGCCTCCTTTATGGGCGCTTGTCCATCCGTCATAATAGATGACCACCAACATTTGTACAAAAACGAAAGACCCACCTACAAAATTCAATTTAATATAAATTGGTTGCTAGACTATATAATAAATAATACTTAATAATCAATATATTACTATAAACTAAAAAAAAAATATGCTGATACAAATACAAATCGACTTGTTAAAACAGATCATCCATCCATCTTTGATTAATGTACTTTTAAAATATTCGTTGATCACTTTTATTTAAAATGCCTACCTTAATTATTATATTTAAAAAATGGCTAATTTGAAATGTATTTATAAATAAAAGAAGTAAAATTCATTTCCAAGGATTAAAATAAATAAAAGTTGAAAATAAATGGATTAAAATGAAAAACCAGACATATAAGTTATAACAAAATAATATTTAAGTAAATAAAATAAATATATACTTTATATATATTAATACATAAAGGTGATGTCAACAAATTTGGGTTTGTTTCCCAATAAAATAAAAACGTTGTGACGAGTGCATGTGCATTGAAAAAGCAAACGAAAACAGATTCTTTCTCTGTAAACGTCAAGGCTTACGTTTCGCCACCTCCCTTTCCCATTCAGGAAGATGGTAAGATTGAGATTTTGTTCATTCATATTTCATACAATAAATTAGGTACCAGTTATAAATTTTGTTATTAGGTTAGAATTGTTTCAAAATTTGTGTTTGTGAACTTTGGATCAGGGTTATGTGCGTCGGTTCATGTTGTTAATATCATCATTGTCGGTGTGTTAACGCGGTATATTGTTTTTTTTTTTCTAAACAATGTGTGAGGATGAGGATTCGAACTCTCAACTGTTTAGTCAAAGATATGTGCTTTAAACGACTAGTTGAACTACGATCAGGTTGGTAATGTGACATATTGTTGGCTAGTTTTGTTGATGCAGTATTTTACCGAGCATCATAGGTTGGCCACGTGCTAACCAAAGCGAGCTATCGTGGTGCGACATTCGAGACAATAGGACCTGCACAAGACATAAATACTACGACGTCCAAGTTAGTCTGAGCACAAACTGTAGCAAGTCGATCTCGGAACAAAATAACATACCTGGAATATGGGGCGGAGTATCCCTTTTATAGGCAGGTGGGAGACAAGATTGTTGGAGCCATTTCGACTAGCGGTTACGGTTGTCTGGCCTCCAGGTCAGTGAAGCTCTCTCCTCCTTAACTCGATAGTTGGTTTGGTCGGTTGGTTCAATTGGCCTTTTTTGGTGATTTCGAATTCAGCAAGAATATCGATGGTGTCATGTTTATTTTTCCCTCCAACGAGTTTAAACTAAGAAAGTAATTTAATAACCTTTTAAAAAAATTAATGATACATATTAGATATAGTTATTTAGTTAACTAATAGTTTAATAAGTTGTTTATTACGTTATACTCCTATGTTTACATATGTATATGTTGTAATTACTTGGAGAAGTTTAATACAATATTCAGATTATTTCAGCTTCCACATAACTTCTATTGCCACTTCATTGTTTTCTTAATGATATCAATAACGGTGACTAAAAAAGCGTATGATCCAAAATTGATTGGATAAAATTAGTAACTAAAATTGTCATTTTGCACAAAAATTAATATAATATAATATATAACTTTTTTTTAGTACAATAAGTGGGAGAAATATATGACTTTATAACTATAATAAAGCGTCATAGAATGACGCATATTTTTCACTATGTGTGCATCAAAAATTGATTTTATATTAGATCTATCTTTTGAACTTTAATTAAGCCTCTATTTATTTAAAGGAAATAAGAAGGGAGGAATGAAAATTAAAATTTTCCATAATGTTGTTTACCGTAATGTAAAAATGGCATTAGTGAGACATACCTCAAATTTGTAAATATTTCTATCATAAAGGGAGAGGAATATGTGAGTTTGTAATTTGGATTGACAAGAAATTGGCAACTAAGGGTCTATTCCGTAACGTCGTTTTCATTTCTTGTTTCTGTTTACTATTTTTTAATAATAATAAAAAGAAAATAGAATTGCATGACCCATAGTGGTAAAATAAGATTTTTTATTTATATTGGAACAAATTGGAAACAGTAACCATAAACAAAAAAGTTACTTTGGTTGTTTCTAAAACTTCTATACAATTTTGAGAATGTCTCTAGAAATGAAAAATAAGAAAACTGGTTGTAAAATACTTAGACTTTTTAATAAATTTAGAAGTAGTAAACAATAAACAAAAATGTTACCAAATCGACCTAAGTAAATGGATTATTTTAAATATTGACTTGTATGTTGTGAATATTTTTGTATCTTAAGTCAAAAATGACGACTCAAACTCCTCCTAATGTTATCCAATTAATACAAACAGTTTTCTAGTTCTCATGATCATCATGCCCTAATTACGAAAAAATTTATGTTGCTTGCCACATTACCACGGTATTAAAACGTCTTGGAATCCATTCGTTCTATCTATTGTGTAAATCAGAGGGAGTATATAGGAAAATTTCTCCGCAGTCATTGACCATTGTATTTTTAATTTTTAAATATTTCAAAAATACAAATGGCAAAGTAAATATATTGAGTCTACCATAGACATAAAATATGAAATTTAATACATCTGTTAAAAAAAAAAAAAGAATTAATGGCCAAAAGTTTAAAAACCAAACTGATGAAAACGCATTTAGGCCTAAAATTGATTGATGCATATTTTTAAAAATACATATGTTAAATTTATGCGAATTTTTTCATATTTTATAAAATAATTTCAAATACTACTCAGGTCTATTAATTATTTTTATAATATTATATTAGAAATAACTAAATAAGAGAATGTTTGAAAACTTATGACTTAAAAAATATTACTAACTAACTACTTCAACTAATTAGCTATATTAATAGTGAAAAAGAAGGTTATATTAAATCATATAGAAAACATAAAAGAAGTTCACATAGCTAATTAACTCAACTCTATTGATAATGTCAGTGAATTCAATATGCCTAAAAACTTCTTCTTAAAACATATTTAAAAGGAAAAAAAAAACCCTTAAAAATTGGCTATAAAAGATAAATAAACCTCGTGGAAGGATTTTTTTTCCCCCTTTTCCTTCAAGGATTATCCATTGAGAAAATTAAAGACAAGAAAAAAAAAAAGAGTTACAGAGAGGGCATCTCGGACTTTTCCTTCTGTTCTTAATGGATCGATTGCAGAAGAAGCCCTAATTCGATCAGTCCATAAACGAAAGCCTTATGGATTGGGGCAGAGAAGTTCCGACGAACCCATTTTCCATGGCGCCATCTTCCTTCCCGCCCAAGCAAAGCCTCACGTCGGCGCCTTCTTGCCCGCCAAATCCGACGCCGCGCAAGGTCGTTTCGAAGATCTCCGTCACCCATTTATCGAATACGCTGTTCGTGAAGGAGCCCGACCCTGATGAAATCGCATCCAACAACCTCTCTTCCACGCTGAAATTCGCCAGTTTCTGCCTCCCGAATACCTCCTCAAATGGCCGATTGATTTTTGACTTGAATGCTTCTCTCAGCTCTCTCCTTGATGATGGGGTTTGGTTGAAAACGAAGCGGTTCGGAATCTCCTGGAGAAATCGCCTTTCGATTTGGAGGTCTGTCGCCGATTCTCGACCGGCGGGATGAGGTATGCACTCGTCTGTTTTGTCTTCTGGTTCTTCGTCTTCCTCGGCTTTGAGGTTGAGGTCGAGTTTGTTCATGCTTGATTGCCTCGATAGGCTCCCGTTGATTCTCGCAGTTTCGACGGCGTCAGGGTTTGCGTCTTCTTTCTCTTCTTTGATTGTTCTTTGATGCTTTGTGTTGCTTGGGGATTCCCATTCGGCTCTTCGCTTCTGGTCCAAACTGAGCGCTCCGAAACCAGAGTTGATGGCAATGTTCAGTGTCATTGGGATTACGGATTCAGTATCCTTATCCTTCCCCTCTCCTCTGGTCAAGACGAATACGACTTGGCGACTGTTTCCACCCTTTTCATCTATTTCTCCGAATTTTCCACCCTGAAATCCGTCTGCTAGGAACTTCATGAATTGGATATCTGCCTTATCGATGTCTTCAATTAAGACTACCAGTTTTTCTTTCTTTTTCATTGCGTTTTCGAGGAATTGAGAAGGTGGGGTTGCTTCATTATCACCTCTTACATTTAGCTTGCAGAGTAGCTCAGCAGACCCAAAGATTGATTCCGCAATCGCTCGAGCCAGCCTTCTTTTGCCAATCTGGTCATCGCCTTCTATCAGTATCCAAGAGAATTCTTGATTGGTTGATTTGAAACTAATCAGTGCTTCAGCCATCGAAGGAATGATTTCTGACTGCCAAGGCACGTTCCCTTGCAATGTCTTACACACATGATCTCTCTGTGTCATTCCTTCATTATTCTTCGGATCTTTGAACAGGGAATCACCTAGCGAGAGAGAAATGTTTACTTCCCTGTTATCTTCTTCCATATTCTTGAGAGAGTCCAAGCTTGGTGTTGCATCATGATATTTGTACTTCTCACTGTCGAAATTGAACTCAGTGATGCAGGATTGTTGCCGCCTAAACCGAAGCATCTGATTTGTACTTCGGGATGCTTTCACTGCTGGTTCAGTGAAGCAGATTGTATTTGAATCTTGGAAGATGTTGTTCCTGGTTGAAAATGGATGTGGCCAAGTTCTGAGGAAGTTACTTCCACCGGAGCTCTCATCGTTGTGCAATGTGGATTTCTCCTGACTCTGAGGACGAAAAAAAAATAGTAAACAATGTTGAGACATTACATTAAGACCAATTATTCAAGTGGTATTTGGTCAACATCATAAAAATTAAAACCAATATTGTAAATCTAAACTAATTGCAATGTTATAACTTCTTGAATAAAATGGACAGTGAGTAGGTTCTTCCTTGAAAATTAAATTCCTTAAATATTGAAGTTGAATCAACTGAAATCTCTGCCGAAAATAATTATTAAACAAACTTAAAAAATATGTAAAAACCAAAACTAATCGACCAACATTAGTCAAAGAAGTTGATTGGACCAACTATATTCAATTAGTTTACTCTACATTAACATGACATGTCAGCTATCAGTCAAGTTCTTTATGAAAGAGATTGGTTCTATATTTTTACCTTAATATGGGATATTTGGGTGCTGAAGGGCTGCAGCCAGGGAGGCAGCTCTTTCTGCTGGCTTGACTTTAATTGCTGAGCTTCATTATCATGACTGGAAGGGCAGTCTGTGCAGCAACTGAGCTTGTCTTGGCCCTCTTTAGCAATATTGAATGGCTTTGTTTCCCACACTTGTGATGGGTTATGGGAGAAAGGCATCCTCGAGCCATGAAGACTGCAAAACAGGTAAGATCATCTTCTAATGAGGCCATTTTCAGGCTTACAGTAGGGATGACTTTCTAGAATTATCCGTTTTAAATATAGTCCTAATTGCACAAAGATAAGGATTTTCAACTTGTTTAGAAGATAACACATGGATTATCCTACTCTGTCTTTATGTTTGAATTCCATTATATCTGAACTAATATATATATATATATATATATATATGAAACACATGACTTGTAGAAAATTTGTCTGTTTAGAAGACTTTTAATCTCTCTTGATTCTCTTTAGATGGAGCACAGGTGAGGGGGAATCAAAAGTCATAGTGGCAATGCAACTAGAAGTTCAGCACTGACCTATTGCCAATCTCAGAGAACATGGCGATCAGTGACCCAATAAACAAATAGAAAAGGAAACAAGAAAACTATCCATTATGATATCATAATAAACGAATTGTTTCCAAGCAAGAACTTCAGAAAATTCAAAAAAGAATTTTAATAAATGAGAGAGATCATACCTGAAAGTGTGGAGGCTTAAGCCAAGTGCTCCATCCGAGGGAACAGGAACAGCTTGAAGATCCCATCGAGTCTCAAGAGTTGGCTGTCTCATTTGACATCTCATGTAAGTCTGATAACTTGCTGTTCCTACTAGCCACAACTTTGGGCAAGAAATGCTGTGGAAGGATATTAACCGCGCAATTTCTTCAATTACGTGATCAATTTGGTTAAACCCTGAAGCATCTTTGTTAGAAAAACTACTTTCCTCTCTCTCTCTAACGTCTGTTTCAACCATCCATTTCAAGTCTCCAATATATATTATGGCTCCCCACCCTCTTGATGTTAGGGAATCGATGTTCCTTCTCAGCTCTGCCACCTTCGTTTCGACATCTTCTCTTTTCATGGAGCTTAAGGAGTCAGGGGATAGCAAAAATTCAATAAATTTGGTTGATTTTAGTTCATTTGGAACCTCTCCTCTTGCTACTCTCCCCATGAGCTCCGAAATCACACCTTCAATTATTGTTAGAGAATCACCAATTATCACGGTGTTCTTTCTCTTCCTCCCAAGCAGTGCCTCAAACACCAACTTGATATCTAGCTTTAAAGAAGAAGCAGATTCAGCAATAACGTTAGCGCTGGATACTCTCTTTTGTGGGGAAAAAGGAAGTGGATTCTGCTCAGAAGAGTGAGTCAATAAATGGGTCTGCCAAAAGTCCCCCGGATTGAAAATCATGTCATCTCTTTGATCAGAGTGATGATCAGTGCGAGAAGGTGAAGAAGGAGAAGAGAAGATGCCACCGGAGCTACTATAACAGTGAAAAACAGAGGAAACAGAGGAATCCTCCAAGTTATTCTTAACGAGAGTACTGGAAAACCCAGCCTCTCTCATAACCCTACTGACACTCGGGTCATCCAAGATGGAAATTATAAGCTGCTCCAATTCTACCTTAATGGCTAAAACTGGCTGATGTTGCTGCTGCTGCTGCTCTAGGCATCCCCTTCTCTGGTTTGCCTGGGCTCTTTTGAGTGCTGCAATGAGTGCATTGGAGAGAGAAGGTTGGCCATGGAAAAGAGGACCAGGTGTAGTTGGGAGTCTATTGAGAGCCACGTTGAAGCAAAGCTCAAGAGCCCTACAATGGAGAGGATGTGAAGTTTGATGTGGCTGAGATTTGAGACATGCTTGCCTTAAGAGGGTACTACTCCTTGAGCTGAACAAAGTAACAGCCACATGGAGAGGAGTGAGCTGAGCATGGCCTCTCCTCCTTGCCAAGCTCAGAGATTGCTTCAGCACTGAAGCAGCCTCCGGTGTGAAGGTCTGGTTCGCTGCACAACCCCCCGATCGCATCACTTACCCGAAATCCACCCCCACCAAGTTCAAACTATAGTTGGCCTTGAGCGAAGGAAAAGAAGGAAAAAAAATGGGGTAATATATTTCTTTTCCTTTTTCTTTCTTTAGTTCAGTAAACTCTCAATTGCAGATGCTCTCTTAAAGCTGCGCTTCCTCTTCTTCTTCCTTCTCAAAGTAGTTGAAATGAAGCAGAGAAATGGACCATCCAATGCCTGGAGTTGATGTTGAGTTGAGAGTGAGTTTAAGGATATGGAGAGAGAAGATATTGAAGGCTGATTTAGGCTTTAGAAAGATGAGACCTGACCAAATGCCCTTCTTTTATACTAACTTGTCATGTTTTGTTTTGGTATGCCAAAATTCTTCTATTTTGGTTTCTCCCACTTTTAGGCTGTCTTTCCATGTGTGTCATTTCTTCCACCTCATTCACTGCTTTTTACTTACCCCTCTCCCCTGTAATTTTCTCCCCACTTTTCCCAAGTTAACTTCAAAATTCAACTTCATTAATCATAATCAACCACCTTGAAACTTAGATAATGTATGTACGAATTCAAATGAAGAGAAGAAACCAAACGTGTAAAGATGAATCACAGAATTAAACAAAACTATATCTGCATTATTATGTCAGAGGAATCAAAATGTGATGATTGTATGTGATTAATGATTAATTCCTTTATGAAATGCTGCAAGTTCTTTTGATTCAAATTAATGAATAATATTTTGATCAGAAGGGGTCCATGGAAATGGGATTCACATTCTTAAGAGCTACCTTTATTGGAAGAGAGAGAGAAGAGAGTTTGAATTTTACACATCAGCCTTTGAAAGAAATAAGGAAAGAGGAGATGGG